TCACTCTGATTATAATCATATGTAATTTTGAACTGATTGATTAAAAAAATCATATAAATAAAATTATACTAATTAACTAAAAAATGCGCAATGATATGGATGTATTTTTTATTTATAATGTATTGTTAATTCTACTCAAACAGATTTGATGGAATTAATGAAATGTTTGGCAACAAAATTATTTACAAGACACACACACCCCCACACACAATTAACCTGGAAGTCCCAAAAACATTATTAGAACCCCTGCATCTAGTTTGGGGCTGAAACATCCTAATCAAGCATCAAATCAGAGACAAAAGTGAGGGGGAGAAAAACGTAGATTTGATTAGAGTTAGATGGTGTTTCCAAGCCTATTTTTCTTATGTTGTGTGGCCTCCTTGGCATTCCTCCTCAAGATGTACTTATAATTGTCATGTTTAATTAAAAGTAACTTTTTTGGCATGATTTAATGATAAGCAAGATTTATTTAAGGAAAATCGAGGTTTTTTTTTTTATTTTTATTTTTTAATACAAGGCTACAAAAAAATGGTACAGTGAAACAAAACCATGCCATGACACAAGTCAAGAGATTTTGTATCTTGGAGGTGGATAATGATTAATGATCATAATATTTTTTGTTTTTTTGTAGGCTTGTTGCATGTGCAAGCAAATTGGCATACTCTCTCAGGTTGAAATAACATAAAATCATAATAATTTTTCAGTTTTATTCTTAATAATATTTGTTTTTAAGTTGGCAAACATAAAAAATCATAATAATTTCTTGAATCTCTCATTCTAATAAAAGCATATTATTTAATTGAAATAATATAAAATTATAATAATTTTTTAGTTTTGTCCCGTAACAATATCACAATTAATATTATGATGGTGGTGAGTAAAACACTACAATTAATATATTTTTAAATTTTTAAGATAAGGATCAAATTATCTAATTATTTAAAAATATCATAACACCTCTTATATTTATGAACAAAGTAAACTTTTAAAAAATATCTTATATATAAAAATAATAAGCTTATTTAAATATATGGTCAAAAGTAAAAGCTTAGTCTTTATATTTTTTATTTTCTTGATAGTTTAAGTGAATATGGATCTCATAGTGTTGCGTTGAAAAACTTCCATTAAATCAAAGTAAATATTAATTTGGCTAAAGTTGATATTTCAACAAAGGATGAGACCAAAGTTATTAAACTCATAAATTTAAATAAACTCATAATTAAAATGTAAACTCAAATTATAAACTTATGAGAATTTATCTCTAGTAATAAATAACATTTAAAAATATATGTTTAAATAATTAAAATATAAAATATAAGTATGATTTAATTTAAATATATTTTAAATATAAATAATTAAAATTAAATCTATTTGCATTTTTTTTCTTTTTTTTTGAATAAAAACTCTTTCATCATCTTCCAAAATCTAAACATAAATGAATGATGATGAAAGAGACAAATTTATTTATATTTATAAATTATTAAAATTTTAAAATAGATCAACTTATTTAATTGATATTTTTTGTTTTCTTTTTTATTAATATTAATTTTTATTTTTTTAAATTTTATTTTTCATTGAACCGAAACTTACCACTTTTATGATAAATTAAGTTCTACACAATATAGATTTATTTAATGAACTTTTGAGTAGATTAATATAATTTTATAAATTATAAATATAAAAATAATAAATTTATAGAATTAACTTATAACTTTAAAAATTTTATTTAATTTAAATTTATAAAGGGATTAATATAATTTTATAAGTTAAAAATATAAAAATAATAAATTTATAAAATTAATTTGAGAGTTTCAAAAAAATGTACAGAACACTTGTCAAGAGACAGTAATTCTAGCGCAGTATTTAAAGGATGGTAACCATTCAATCCAACCATCAATATACCTGACACACGTTCATGCATTTCAACTGCAGTGACGTCAGAGAATAGGACTATGCGTGGGATCCACATCTCAATAATTACACTAATTCATTTTTTATCTTCCCCAATCTAGCACATTTATTTTTTTTAATATACCACCGAATTTTCAGAAGCCACGTCATAGGCTCCAACTTGTCAGATTGGACCACAGTTTATATCAAGTTCTATCCACAACTTCTGCAACATAACTGCAAATCATATATCCCAGATATATGCCGATCGAAATGTCAAAATTCATATCCATTTCACAATTGTCAAACTCAAACTAAATATAAATTTAATTAAATTCATAAATATATCTTTAAATTTATTATTTTTATATTTTTTAATTTATAAAATTGTGTCAATTAATTCATAAATTTAAATTAAATATAAACTTAATTAAATTTATTAAGTTAGTCATTTTTTTAATAGATAGAGTTAAGAATATACTATAAAAAATTCAGTTCATAAAAGTTATAAAACTTAATTCAAAAAAAATTAACATGTAAAAATTAATATGAATAAAAAAAAAAAAAAAAATGAAAAATAAGTTCTCCTATTTTATAATTTTTATGTTTTTTATATGATAACATGTCACTATAGGTAGGTTTAATTTCAATGATCTATATTTTTATTATATTTAAATTAAATTATAATTATATTTTAATTGTTATTTATTAATAGAGGTAAACTTTTATAAGTTTACAATTCGAGTTTGTGATATGAGTTTACATTCTTGTTACAAAGTTTACTTAAATTTATGAGTTTAACAGTCCTAATACATCTTATTTTAAAATGCGATTGATTATTTAAGAATATGTAGTTTTTCCCTTTTTTGCTACTCATCAGTAAATATATAGAATATAGTTGATAATGTTATGTAAACCATTGAACTCTGCGTCACATTACAAAGCAAACTCGATGGACAAGAAATAATCAAAATCCTAATTGGTGCCGAATCAAACCTAGATAGGATTTCAGATCTCTTATAATTATAACCTAATTTATTGTCTTTGCAATACGTGGGAGAAGATTTTGTTACAAAATTTAAGAGCTAGATCATGTCTCATCATATGGTCATAAAATTAAAGCCATATTAAGTCTATCAGGCCAATATTATATTTTGTCATAAAAAGCAGATTGAATGTACTCTCATAATATATCCAAATGGTAATTTTAATTGCATTCAGTGTAGCATTTTTATCGCGAAAGAACACAAAGTTTCTCCAATTCTCCAAAGTTGATTCGCTGCGATCACATATTTCTACTGATGAACAGTGGTTTTGTTGTATCAGATTACGAACTTTTCATGGACCTTCACACTGACACAGATACTCCTATTTATTTCTTTTACATAAAAAAAGAAAAAAGAAAATTGATTGATGAGATTACAATAATTTATGATAATATAGCTCTGCACTAATTTTTTTTTCATATGAAAAAAAAAAATCAATCGTCTGTCAAAAGATCTTTTCAGATATGGGTTCTCCGATTCTTCACCTCTCTAATGTCATTTGCCGTGCTTCAACCCTTCAATTATTTTTCTCTTATTTTTTTATCGTTAAATGAGAGACAATATGATATTTTATGGTAACGAAATGATGTAGCTTTGCATTTTTTTATGATTTTAAAAAATAAATCAAAGCTGCATAATTTTAAGATATTTTTCTTTTTCTTTTTCTTTTTCATGAGAAAGAGATTCATTAATATAAAAAGAGATGACACAGGTAGTGTAATGCAATTCGTTCCAGACCTATCATCATTCACCACCTATCAACAATAAGGTGAAAGTTGATTGAAGATACAAAAGTTACCAAATTCATCAGAGGCATTCTTAGCAAGAAAATGGGCACAATAATTCTCCTCTCTATTTGTAATTACATTCGAGGGTAAAAAGGCTGTCTTAAAAAAAAAAAAAAAACTAGCGCATTCAATATATAACATCCTTGAAAAGGTGCTGTGACACATCAAAAGATATTTTTATATAAGTTAATAAAGTCCATTTCTTTTGTACTCGTTTTACTTTAATTTATAAGTTGACTTGCTTTAAAAAAAAATCAAAAGATATTTTTCATAGAATCTAATGATCAAGAGAAACAAAAAAGAAATAATAATAGGAAGATTGAGTCATTATAAGAAACAATAGAGAGCAAGCCATCAAAGCAAGCCTTTTTTACTTTTTATCCTTGTAGATTTTTATTTTTTAACCTGTTGTAGGTTTAGCCTTAGAAAAAATTTTAAATAGTGTTTGGATTGGTTAAAAATCTTACATTTCAAATGTCAAATTTAGAATTATATATTCAAAATTTTTTGCTTGGATAGTTCAAAAAAATTTCAAATGAAAAGTGGAGATAAGTTAAGATTCAAAATGAAAATAAAAAATAAAAAATAATGAGTTTATCAATATTTTTTAATCAACAAGAGATAACAAAAATATGTAAGTTATAAAGCTGTTAATAGCAAAAACACGAAGAGAACGGGGTGAGGAATTTGAAATTAGAAAGAAAATGTAACAAGAGATGGACTATTCATCATTTAACCAAATTCACAAAATTTTATTCATTTAACTGAGGGATTTGATCTAAATTTAAATCTAAATTTAATTCACATTAATCCAAACACACTATTATAGACTGTTATTTGGGAAACCGATATCATTGATTAATTCTTCATCAAACGGCGTTACCAAAAAAAAAATTGGGAAAAAGCCAATATAATACATCTCCTTATTAATTATTATCTAATTTCGATTTACACTAAAATCAATTGCGCCCAATTCTTTAGTCAAAGAACAAGGATAAGACTGATATATTTTGTTGTAAATATCTCCCTCGTGGATTCTTCCGTGTGGAGAGTAGAGACTTTCAATAACATGACAAGAGAGCCTCGTCATTATAGTTGTCCCCACTCTGTTGAAATATTTTCACCACATTATATTACATTGCAATTACCAACCTAATTAATTAATGTGGCATTATCGTAGTAAAATCTAAAGAGGTCGTCATTAGGTTGAGCAAGAGCCATCAAAACTCGGCTTAATTTGATGGGTTGAAAATTAAAACTTGGCTCACCATACAAGTTTACTCTCTAAAAATTTGTAACTTAAAAAATAAATATATATCCTTCAACAGTTTATTTTCTAATTTCTAACACAAAAAATTAGAAATGTTCAAATATCCTAGATCGAATTAATGCCTTGGTTAAACTTCAACAACATTCGCAATTTCTCTTCTAGATGCAGCATTGCCATCATCTATATATACCAATATCTCCTGCTCCGCCATGCAAAACATCTTCTGTAATTGAATAATAATAAAAATTAAAGGAAGGATAAGAAAGTTAAGCATAACTACCAAAACACATAGTAAAAAATTACAATCTATATCATTATATTGTAAACCATGTAGTCAATCGTGACTTTGTGAGCATAGACAATATATAAGAGCTCGGGCACATTATCTAGAAAAAGAGAACTTCTATACTCATTCAAAACTTAAAAGCCAATATACAAAAAGATCTTTAATTTTTTTTTAATATCATAGTGAGTTAAAAGAGCCAACCCACTTAACTCGCAAGTTAGCTCATATAACTTCCCGCTCAAAAGAGATGAATTTGTTTGATTATAAATTTTAAAGGAAGTCTCTAATAATCAAATTAGCGAGTTCTGATTCATTTTGACAGCTCTAATTCAGTGTGTATAAATGCACACTCTTGAGTAAATGATAGCTGGCATATCTGGATATGTATAATCATTTAATTGGGAGAAACTATGTGTGTGTATAATACCCAAAGTAATTATGCTCTTGTGTGTGTGTGTGAGAGAGAGAGAGAGAGAGAGCCAAAGATGAGTAGTTTAGTTGTTGTTGTGTTGCATTTTTGTTTGGTATATATATGTGGTTGGTGCTGTCTCATGCTTACATGTGATCTATTAGCTGTTGCCTCACTGCACATCTCTCTTTTTCACTTATAATTAAGTACTTTAATCACTTGATTATACTTTACCCCTTGTTTTGGCTTTATTTAGCACAGAGAAACTCAATCAATAATAATATTCCTCGGTGCAGTGTTTCTTGTGGTAAGTGGTAAAAGGTCAGGTTAAGAATGATGAACTGTGGTAAATATATATATATATATATATATTTTGGTTCTTCAACTTTCAATTTATTACTTTCTTGTTCTTTTTGTTTTGTTTTTACAAAGTGACACAAGGTATCTCAAGTCATTTGACTGATACTCATCAAGTACACATTCATAATGGAAATGAGATATAATTGAGTATCCAGGTACAGCACACATTCAAGTGTTACTCGATTGCACCAAAACTCAATAATTGATGAAGCAACATTAATTAATTAGATACCAACTTCAATTTGGGATTAATATTCAATTACTGATGATGAACTCACTTGTAATTATATTAATGTTCATGATCAGCACAATAAGTACTGCTAACTGATGGTGAAACAGCAAGCTATAACCAATCACCAGGCCGAGCAGGATGCATATATATAGATAATAGACATGTACAAATGTAAATGATTAAATAATAATCACATTCTAGGTTATTTAGTTATTTAGATACTGCAGATATAGCATTTTTATGTGGATCATAACATACCAGAAGAAGATAGATTTAGTTTTCTTCAGAGACGAAATGAGGATCTGGTTAAAGTAATTAACAACCCACCAATAGGTAAATTTCTTCAGCAAACATATATTGATAGGCTTTCATGGTTTTCTATTCTTATATATAAAACAGTTCTGTACCTGTACATTTTTTATTTTTCCCAACGTTCTGTACCTGTACATTGACAAGAACAATAAACCTAAGATTTCGTAAACCTCGTATCTTCCGCAAAGGATAATTAAACCTGAAAAAAGAAACACCCACAAGTATATGCAGTGACAGAGATATACGGCACTTCATGGAGATTCAATTTCTTGTTAATTACATCATTTAAATTTTAAAACCCTAAATTAAGAACATATAATCGATCGCCTAATACAAAATATTGAAGCAGAGGAGTGACTGAGCTGAAAAAAAAGAAGATCTGAGACTGAGATCAAGATCAGTATTGTAAGAAAATTAAGGAAATTAAATCAAAAGTAAATCTTACCTCGTAATTAATCATGAGAAAGAAGTTAATATTAATCATTTATTGCTGATGCAGCATCATCAAGATTCTCAAGACACCTGTGAGAACCAAAGATTCTGTGTGTGAATCTTGATGATGATGCACCTGCAAACAATGACTTGATCGAATCAAACGCACCCATATGGAAGCTTCCAGAAATTTCCTCCAATATATATACGTATGCATATATGAACGTTATCTGATCTGCTAATCATACATTAAACCACTGATCTTTCAAATCTTGGGTTGAAATAGCATAACCCCAAAGAAAGAAGGTCGACAATATTGTAGATATCTCCGAAATAGGATTACCTGAGGAACCCTAAAAGAATATACGGTTCAATGGAAAATAGTATGTGTGTGTGAACAGAGAGAGAGAGAGAGGGTTTAAAATAAGCTTAAAGGGAAGGAGGAGGAGGAGGAAGAAGAACAAAATATGAACCGCAAGAATTAACAGAAGGTTCAACCAACTATAGTATTGGGTGGATTCATGTGGATTATGTGTTTGTGTGTACGATGAATGTTAGGTGGCAATCGGGTCTAGCTACCTACATGTACCTAGAAGATCTCGAACACACACGCACATAAACAAAAACACAGATAAAAACTCATCAGGTAGCTGTGAGATGATTTCGTGAACTATGCAAGAGCACTATACAGTAATTATATATGAGAAGGGAAGGTTCTAATAGGAATCTGAAGGAAAAGAGAAAGGAAGAAAGATTGCTGGAAAAGTAAAGGTAGAAGAAGAAAGACTAGTTTCAGAGATAGAAGAACAGATATTCAACTTTAGAGAGAGAGAGAGAGAGAGAGAGAGCGAGTTGTAGGTTAGTTCTCATTTGTTTGAGGTGGTTATATATACACGATTCTACCTTTGAGTGCTCCAAATTTTGTGAAATTTAAAAATTTTTTAAGGCATATATGTGACATTAAATTTACGCGCATTTTTTTTGAGTCATAAATAACATAGACAAGTCTCTCCAATTTTCCAATTTTTTTCAGACGCCTTAGGCTCTACAAAAAATTTTATGGGCATAAAAAACTATCTACATAACCTTATATTTAATCTGCTTTTATTCACTTAAATTAGAACAAGTAAAATTTAATGTATTACTAATATTAATAATAAGAGTTTAGTAAAAGAATTCACATGTCTTGATTAGACTGGAATCATATGTACATCTTAAATATATAAGACTAAATATTTGAGTTATGTATTTTTTTATTCATTTAACTATTGAACTTGTTTAGAACTCATTTTAACTGAATTTATATCTTAAAAATAAATATGAATTTCTAAAAATAGTTAAATTATTATGTGTGTCTATATGCGGAAAGTAAGATTATAAAATATCTTTAATTAAAGCAAAAAATAAAAATACCTATAAAATTGATTTTTACTCATTATTCGATTTCTCTCTCTATCTTAGTTTGCCCAATCTCTCAAATACTTTATGGCTTCACATTAACCTTGAGTAGGTAAAAGCAGATAAATGCCATTATTTTAAGAGAGAATGACAATTAAAGACTTGTTAAGAACATTAATCTTAATTACGGATTGTGAAATTTTAAAATCAGAGTTAAGGACCATAGTCCTTAATTGTGATAAAAAAAATATAATTTGTGAGATAGGATTCACTAACATGACTTGAAAATTCACTAACCCAACTTGAGAAAATTACTAACGTATATTGTGAAAACATGAAACCTCACTTGAAAATAAAATGTTTAACAAAAAGCGTCACTTGAGAATTTACTAACTAGACTTGAAAAAATTTCTAACGTATATTGTAAAAAAATGAAACCCCACTTGAGAATCATTAATAAAAAGTGACTTATCCAAATTGATATTTTTATTAAACAATTGATTCTCAAGTGAAGTTTTATGTTTTCACAATATACATTAGAAATTTTTTCAAGTCGAGTTAGTGAAATTTTCAAGTGGCGCTTTTTGTTAAACATTCAATTTTCAAGTGGGATTTCATATTTTCATAATATACGTTACAAATTTTCTCAAGTTGGGTAATAATGAATCCCACCTCACAAATTATATTTTTTTTAATCACAATTAAGGACCGTGATTCTTAACTGGAATTTTAAAATTTCATGATCCGTAATTAGAATTAATATTTTTAGCAGGTCCTTAATTGTCATTCTCCCTAATTTTAATTATATTTTCTTAAAGATAAGATGTGCACTTATTTTTTAATTTTTTTTCAATGAAACTTTCTTAAACTAAAAAAATAACACCCAGAGAAAAAATTTAGATCGTATAAGAAATCTATTAGGTAAATTTTTTTGTTAGTTTAAAGTTCATTTTAATTTGTAATAAATTAACTAAAAATAACTTGATTATTAACTTTTTTCAAACAACAAAATTAATTTAAACTTATGCCAACACGTTATCTCATTCTTAATGTGTATGAGTCAGGCTAAGGCGGCCGGCTATCGAACTATTTTTTTATTTTTTTTGAATGAGCTAATTGAACTATTAATTTACTCGCCGACTTAATTGCAATAGGCCCTCGGACCATAAATTGAGGAGAATGACTTTATTGATTTATTATATCTTAATTAAAAAAATAAACTCTTCATGCTGGCTAGATCTTGGCAAATATCTCTGACCACGTGAAAAAAGTACGAACACAATTTTTAAAAACTAAAGTAAACCAACAGAAATCAATTGGAAGCAAACCTGCCTAATCAATTAAAACCGACCCATATGATCTCCTTGGCGTTTTTATGTGCCTTTGAATCATTCATACTAATTTATAATTATTCCACAAAATTAAGTACAGGTCTGGCAAATAATATTATGATATTCACTGTAATTCTACGACAAACAAAGGAATCTCTGAGTCACAACGCAAGTGACGAATTGGCATATACTCTCTCAATAACAACAACAATAATAATAGTAAAAGGTGCATTTGCTCTCTAAATAGTACTTTATGAACATCTAGCATCTTAAATTATTTAAAATATAATATTTTTGTTTTAAAGATAATTAAAACGTAGTATTCTCCATCTTAATGTTAAATACTCGTAAACATCTCTATTATATAGTCAAACTACTTTTCTCTAACATCATATTAACAGTCAATGTTTATTATTTAATTTTGAGATAAAAATATTATATTTTAATTACTTTAAAAGCAAAAATAATACACCAAATAAGTTAGGGTGCTGAGTACTCCTTAGATAATATTTTGGGGGCAAAAATGCACATTTATCCTAATAATAAAGTTGAGAAATTTTATATTAATTCTGATGAAGTTTTTGGTTCAAATAAAGTTTAACCATAGTTATTAACTATTATGGCCCTCGTTATATGGCAATACGATGGTTAAGTACTTTACTGTATTGATAAGGATGTTCGTGATCTGACTAATCCCTCTATAATCAAGATGGATTAGTTAAAACAAAAAATATTTTAATTAAAGTTAAGTTAGGTGTAAGGTTGATTCCAATTAATATAAATAATGTTAATCTAGACCAATCATTATTATCTTCAATAAAATCATAGGAATTTGCATGAAAATTTTAATTTTTGAACAAATAAAATATAATTCTAAAAAGATTGATTTTTAAATGTCAACAGTCAATATCCACACACAGACACACACATATATATGTATGCATAAATGACAACTAAGTCGAGACTAATTTATTCAAACTCAGCTCCAGGCAATTTCAGAATACTAAGTAAGTCACTTGGTCCTTAACTAGCATTTTGATATACTGCAAAAGTCTAAAACACCCTTGATAACTTGGGTGAAACTGTAAGTTTGACTTTTAATTTTATAATTTCAATAAATTAATGAATATGCAAGGAACTAATGATTATCCAACTTGTTTTTTAAATTTTAATAGGGAATATATATGTTGTTGATGTTCTAACAACTCCAAGAATTTACAAACTTGGCTCCCAACTTTACAACTTCAAATTGATAAGTTTGTAACATATTTTTTCAAATTTTAAGAGAGAATACAAATATTAATGTTTAAAGTTAGAAAGTAACCATTGTTTTAATAATTTAAAGGATTTGTAAGTTTAGCTTTTAATTTTGTAACTTTGAATTGATAAATTTATAATTTATTTTTTAAATTTTAAGAGGGAACACAAATGTTAATGTTTAAAGTTAAAAAATAACAAAGTCATTATTCTAATAGTTTCAGGGATTGACAGGTTTGGCTTCCAATTTGTAACATTTTTTTTTAAATTTAATCATATTTTTTTGACAAATACTAAAGAAAGATAAAAAAAACAAACTACCTCTAGAGGTAGACAATTAAGACCAACAGGCCAACAGGCAATGCAAGTGCATGTTTTGCAACCTGATCAACTTCAATATTATCTTCTCATAATGTAATTCAAGATCAACATTTCAATCACATTGGGCTTTATATATTTAACTCAAGGTTATTAATTAAGTCAATTTCTTTATAAGTTAGATTCGCCAAAAAAAAAAGTGACTTTGTTAGTATTTTAAAATTGATTGGACCTAAGTTAGATTAATACTCCCCTGTTCAAAAATGTAAAGTATTTTTTGAGAAGTTAAATGTTAAAAAATGTAAGACATTTTTAATCTTTTGATCTGTAATCATTGTCTTTTTTTTAGTGTTCCTATTAATAATAGTTTTATACTTAAATTAAGGTGTTTAACAGAAGTAAATATAAAAAAATAAAATTAATTTAAAAATAAGTAATTATTTTATTAAAAAATAAAATTTAATTAAAAATATTTTACATTTTAAATGAAGGAGTAGATACTTGAGATTTAGTTGTCACTCTCCTTATATTAATTGCAATATTTTATCCCCGCCGCCACCTCCATGACACATAACGAAGTTTTTTTTTTTTTTTTTGGGTGGGGGGGACAAGAGACAATATAAAAATACCAACAAATTCGAAATTAATTAATGGCCATATCATCGATCATCATTAGTACTCTTGTTGCATGAATAAATTTAATAGCTGTATATTATTCTTTTTTAAAAAAGGGATTCAAGTAAATAAACCAACGAATTTCAGCGGAAGATAATAAAACTTCGTCCAAATTTATCTGGGTCAAAAAGAATAATAAAGTTTTTCTATTTTTAAATTTATCTTAATACTCTACATGTACACACAGTTAAATCCTTCCAGTAGTGAACTTCCCCTAATTTCAAAGAGATTCTTTCAAGCTGGCCAAATAAAAAAGAGTAACTAAGTTTTCTTCTTCCGAAGAAAGTAATCTAAATTTTAATTAGCGATTTATACAAAACGATAATTAGGTTTTGGACCAATTAGTGCATGAATTACTACTATTTGAAGAAATAGTATATATTTCAGTATTTTCATTTTTTTAAAGTTTACGTCGTCATTATCGGCATATATTAATCACCTTTCTTATCAGTTATTACAATGAGATCCCACCAAGCTTAATTCACTTGTTGTCCTTTATCACAATTAATTACGTGTAGAAACTTTATCTTTATCCAATTATAGTCTTTATATTATCATTATATTTTGTCCTATTTTGCTACTTTTTGAAAAAAATTATAAACATTATCGTTTGGCTTGGGACATTATTACTTAGATTTGACATCCTATTTTAACTTAAAATCTTAAGTTATTAGGGTTACCATTTTTTTAATCATATATATTTTCTCTAACTCAACTTTATCTAATACCAAAATTCTTTTCTTACTAACTAACTCTTGATCACCCCAACAATTTCATATTAATATTTTTCTTATATTTGAATGCGCTAATGGAAATTAGTTAAGTTACTCCTAATAATCAACAAAAGTTG